CCTAAAACCCCAAACCCCAAAACCTAAATTTGTGGATTCTTCAAAAAGGGCTCAAGCAAGAGGTTCATGTCCAAGACAAGCAGCTCGATAATCTCTTCCGAGTTCACCTCAGGCTCATGGCACACTGCTTCCCCTGCAGGGTTTAGGGCTTGGAGGTCTGAACCGGGGTTAGATATGATATGGTAATACTCATCCTTCAGGAGGACATGAGAAGCAATAAACATTGTATCGCAGTATGACGAGACACGCTGTCGAAGATCCTATCACTGCTGATGACCAAGTGATAAAGCCACATAAGTTGAACTTCCCACACTAAACTGGAAACCATGCGCAACTATGCCAAACTCCTACAGTATAGGGTTTAGGGTTTAGGGACCCTAAAGCCCATAGACCCAACAGTCCTAAACTAAACTCCAAAGCTTGAACCCGCAGGCAAGAATATCTCTCAGGGGCTCTTGTCCAGGAGCAAACAGCAAGTAGAAATACAGTCTGTAAGGGGACTCTGGATAGACCTGACATCACATGCATCTTGTACATTGCATGTGCTCGCACTCGTGCTAGACATTCCCGGGTTTTTGGAGGAGTGTGTTTCTTGCAGGATCAGCTGGCGGCTTGAAACATACAACAGACTTTCTGGGAGGAGGTCGGTAAAACAAAAACCATATTCTGGAACATTCATAACACGCACAGCACTGAAGCCCCATCTTCCACCCGTGGCCCACCATAACCATCCACGGTTTCAAGGCCAATCTCGAAGTGCTGGCCCGAAATCCGCGATAGATGTGGGGATGTAGTTACTGTAAAGCTTTCTGGGAGTTCATGACGTTTGTATGCTTTTTGTATGAAAGTTTTGAGTCTGCACAAAACATCTCGGGGACCCGATATGTATGGTTATATGGGAAGTAGCTACGGCTAGTTGCGTGAAGCTCTTATCAAGAGATTGTGCACAGTACTTAAAGAATTACTTACTATGTTCTCTGATCCCTTACTTAGAGCGCTCCACCTGCAACCCTAACCACTGAACCCTCATACCCTGGAGCCTGAAGCTAAACCTTGGACCTTACAGCCCTCGCCCTCAAACCCTAAAACCCCAAAGCCCGAAAGCTCAAATCCCCAACAGCCAATCATGTAACCCTATAAAAAAACTTCTATTTCCGACGAAAGCCCACTAAACCCCCTGCTTAATCCCAATAGACCCGATAAATCCTCTCTAGCATGCTTACAAAATCCCTGTCCCAGGCCTCGTCCACTCGTGCCAGGAGGCGCTCTAAGGCCAAGCGCCGTAGCTGCGAGAAGTCGTGGCGAAGACGGGAGTTCCTTCTGTGCTTGCTTAGGAATTCGGGTTTTTTTCGAGGCAAGTGGTACCTTGTTCACGGGGCCCGCTCTAAACCCTCAGCAACCCAAAGCCCTAAACCCTAAACCCTAGGGGTTTAGGTTTGAGGGTTCTATCAAGGAGGCTAGGAGTTCGGTGCTTTCAGGAACTGGGGTGCAGAGTTTACAAGGATAAGAAGGACCTGCTTTGCTCGGCATTTTAGGGGCCCAGAGGTTCTTAACTACTGAACTTAATGGAAGCCAGGAACCCAGCAAGTAGGTGTGTGTAAGGGTCAAAATACTGTTGGTCCGAAGTTTCTGTAAGGGTTGAGTATACATATAAAAAAATATGTACACATATACACACATATACATATATATATATATATCTATATATATATATATATGGAAATCACAACAATAAGCCTTAACTCCGTGGCCTATTTCGGGCTCGGGCAGGCCCTGACCCCCCTGCTTCTGCGCCCGCGAAAGTTTGCAGCCTCAAGCCTAAAGAGCCCAACTTACCCCTTAAATAAGGAATAGACCTAAATACTAATAATAAGGCCCCTACTATAACTTATTTGGTATATTCCTTATTTGAAGCCTATTGGGCTCTCTGGGAGCACGAAAGCGCGAATACCGGAAACCGAATAGCAGACCTGTGAGGGTTTGTGGTCTAATGTAGGATTCCTCTAAATCGCAAATTTGAAAAAATAAAACACAAACCCTACAGCAGGACTGCATCACCTGATTTGTTGGGGGGGGGATACAGAACTCTAATCTACAGGCAGTAAACCCTAAACCCAATGCCCTATGCCAAAGAATTCAGACCTCCGCCCCCAATTAGAGTCCCTTCTACTACTTATCACCACCTAAACCCCAAACGCCTGACTACCGCCACACCCCCAAGCAAGGCTGTATCTGGAGGATCAGGGGACTTGGGAAGTGAGGTATGAGTATCTTACTCGTAATTTACAAACTCTGGTCGCAGGGAACACGCTGATGCTGCCGGCTGTGTCGCCTGAAATCCTACCCACCCCAGGGTTTAGGGCTGAGGGTTTAGGGTTTAGGGCTTCGGGTTTCAGGGTTTAGGGTTTTAGGGTTTAGGGTTTAGGGTTTAGGGCTTCGGGTTTCAGGGCTTAGGGTTTAGGCACCCACTCCGAAGCTTGTGCGACAGCAAACACCGAGGCAACGACTCCCGCGCCACAGCCCGGAACCTGATTCAGCAGAGCCTTTATAAAGGGCTTAACAGGTTCAGGATCTGGGGACTTTACTTGGAGGATCATGGGACTTAGTAAGTCAGGGTTTAGGGTTTAGGGTTTAGGGTTTAGTAAGTAAGGTTATGAGTACCCTAATTGGGGTAAAAATAATAGTTACCTTATTTATAACCCTAGTTACTAAGTCCCATGATACTCCAAAGTAGTGGTACCGGGACTCCCATAGTCAGGACGACTACGTAGTCTAACTGCTGACGCTCGTGCAAGAAGCATCAGGAGCATGATCAACTTTAAGTGTTGCGTCTACGAGCCTTTGCTAGAACACCCAAGAAGAAATATCACACCGGAATACGTCAACGATGACCACTCGCCGGGCGACGCATCCTGCATAGCCTCTCCGAAGGTGGCTCCCTGCCGGATTTCAACTTGGCAGTTCAATTCGAGCCTTACCCTGCACCCAAAGGCGTAAGCGCAAAAGCCCTCCAGGCCGTTTGGAAGAACCCTCATGAAACCCAAATAGTGAGGGGTTTAGGGTTTAGGGTTTAGGGTTGAGAGGAAAAAACTCTGAACTCACTCCTGCACATCAGGCTGCGCCAAGGTCAGAAAAGGCACAAGAAGTCCTGCTTTGCTCAAGGTAATTGCAACCCGACTTCTCAGTTCGCGATCCACGAGCATATTCGTAGCTAAGACACTATAGCGATTCGGTGAGCTGGAGGCAACTTCCTACACTGCATCCTAAAACCCTAAACCCTAAACCCTAAACTTACCAATGCTGAAAAGCATCTATTCAACCTTTCCCCCCTCCCGGCCCCAGACTGACTAATGTAGGGGCCTACATACTTACCTACACTATTTTGGGGGGGCTCCTTATTCTAATTATAGTATAATGGGGCCCAAAACCCTATTCTAACTATGAAGGCCTCTATATTATCGGTGACTATCGCTCCCGCCCGGAGTCTGCAATCTGAAACCTCAAGCAGGGTTTAGGGTTTTAGGTTCAGGGTTTAGGGGTTTAGGGTAAGAAAGCGACAAACATGCTGGAAATCGTACCCTAAAGCCGAAGCCCCTACAGCCCAGACTTCAACCGCTGAGCTCTCAACATTCTAATTCCGCTCAATGCTAAAACTTCCCAACTCCCTTCTTTGCCTGACCACAATGCTCCCAGAGCTTGGGCGCGAGACCTTGGGTTGATTGAAGGGAGGTAGGGTTTAGGGTTTAGGGTTTTGAGGCTTATGGCTAGGACTGAGGCTGTTTTTTTGTAACGGAGCGGTCGGGCCTCGCACAGTGGAAAAAAAACAAGGTCGGCCCAGAAGCAACTGCGACCGCGAGCAACAAAAACGACGACAAGATCGTGTCCAGCAACTCCACTGGAAATATTCAAACGCATCAAGGATTAAGGCTGAGGGCTTCGGATACATGATACAGGTATAAAGTGTAGCTAAGTATCGCGAAAGCAAGCCCTAAAGCCAGCACCCGTAAGGGGCTGAACTAGCCTTCCAGCCTGAAAAGCCTCGAAGCCCTACACCCCAAGACCCTAGTGGTTTTCGACGGTTTAGGGTTTAGGGTCTTGAAAACCCTTCAAAAAGTCACGAATAACCTTCGACAACACCGTAGAGCCCAAGAAACCCTCTTAAAATTCAGCCCTAGTACACCCAAGGAAACCCTACGGAGCACCCCGAAGAAGAACCTTCTGAAGCAAGCTCCGGAAGACTCTACGGCGAAGACTCCCCCCCCCACTCCAACATCCCTAAAGACACCCCCTGTCAACAAAACCTAAAACCTGAACCCTAAACACAAACACACAAACCCCCCAAACCCTAAGCCCTAAACCCTAAAATCCAAAAAGAACAACAACAAAAACAAGAGTCCCCAGGTCCCCCGGCGAGCCACGGCCGCGCGGAAGGCGACCAAAGCCTTCCCGAGGGAAGCCTGCGAAGCTGTTTCTCAGTTTCGCGAAGAAAGGGTAAAAGGGTTTAGGCTTCAGAGCTTTAGGGTAAGAAGCCTTCGATTTTGAATCGAACTTACTTATTGTTTATTGATGCTCATTCAGGGTTTGGGATGGGTTCGAGATTTGAGATAATTTAAGTAACTATGTTCCTGATGTGCTGGGATTTGGGGTTTGGTGCCTTTGGACGTACAGGACTTGGGGGTCTACGGCGTATCAAGTCTCTGAATCTAGGCTTTACAAGGGGTTTAGGGTTTAGGGTTTAGGGTTTAGGGTTTAGGGTTTAGGGTTTAGGGTTTAGGGTGGGGTTGCTTGCTTTAGGCTTGAGGTTGGAAGGCTCGGTGCATCAGGCTTTCTAGGTTTCGGACTGTGAAGTTTATGGTTCAGGCTTTCAGGGTTTCGGGTCTTTTGAGGGTTCAGCGGTTTATGGCTTGCTATTGATTTAGGTTCCGGCGCATGCTAGGCTTCAGGGTCTAAAGTTTAAAGGGTTCAGGGTTCAGGGGGTCTACGGGGTAGGAGAAGCAAACTAATGTAGGGGCCTTAATAATTAGAATAGGGTTTTGGAGTATATTTATACTATGGTTATAATAAGGAATAAGGGACCCCCAAATAGTACAGGCAATTCTTAAGGCCCCTAAACTAGGGGCCACGAAGAAAGTGCGCTTGCTGGTCTCAAGGCTAGTTCAAGTTGCTCTACCCTAAACCCTAAACCCTAAACCCTAAACCCTAAACCCTAAACACGACGGTGATGGCAAACCTTCCAATTCAGCCCGGCAGGGTTTCGGGGGCTTTGGTTTTTCGTGCAAAGCTCAACGGTTTGAAGAGTTTAGGGACTGAGGGTTGACAGTTAAAGGGTTTAGGGTTTAGGGTGTAGGGTTTAGGGTGCAGGGTTGAGGGTTTAGGATTTAGGGTTTAGGGGTTAACTAGGGTTGACCAGGTCGACAGCATTCAACAACTGAACAGCTTGCCGTCGAGCCTTTGTCGGGAACAGCGTGTCGTCCAGATCCTGAAACAGTGAATGCTCAAGAAACACACCGGCAAGACTTGAACAGCAATGCAGGAAGTTCGAATATCTGAACACCTAACCGTTCCGGGTTTAGGGTTGGACCCAACCCCAACCAACATCAATCCTAGACCCTGAACCCTAAACCCTAAACCCCTGAACCCTAAACCCCTAAACTCTAAACCCCTAAACCCTAAACCCTAAACCCCAAACTCCTAAACCCTACACCCTAAACCCTACCTGCAGAGACCCTGAAAACTGAAACTCCGAAAACCTGCTGCAAAACCAAGCCCGGACATGCCACGACCCAAGAATGCTTCAATTTAGGGTTTAGGGTTTAGGGTTTAGTTCAACCCCTCAAGAACAAACCCTCCAGTTCAAAATCCCCAAGCACTTGAAGCCTTGAAGTATACCCTAAACCCTAAACTGTGATCCTTAGTTGATCCCAAAGCCCGAAACCCTAAGCCCCGAAACTCTTCACCCCATTCAATCTCAAAGCCCAAGTCTTTTAATGCAGCCCTTAAGTCAAACTGCACCGTACACCCGAAGCCTTCGTAAGGATATGAACCACAGTTTAGGGTTTAGGGTTCAAGGGTTCTGTAGCTCATGTACTTAGGTCTCCTTGCTGGACACTCACGGTACACGGTCTTATGGTTAGGAGCTGCCATACAAAAATCTAATGCACCCTAAACACGGGCCAAGGTATGACACTGTAGGAACAAACTAAAGCCGTCTGAATGAAGCTCCCGAAACCCTAAACCCCTAATGTAGGGACCTTCATAATTAGAATAGGGTTTTGGGAGTAACTTATACTATAATTGAAACAAGGAGCTCCCCAAAATACTATTGGTACTTATTTAGGCTTCAGTATTGAACCCTAAACCCCAAACCCAAAACCCTAAACAACAAACCCTAAACCCCTGCTGAATGAAGCTTGGGGGCGAAGGTCACGCACTCAATGGCTGTGCCCGGATGTGACTCCCTGATCGATGCGATCCTGGGCTAGGGTTTAGGGTTTAGGGTTTAGGGTGTAGGGTTTAGGGGGGCTCGGTACAAGGGTCTTAGGGTCTTAGGATTTAGGGTTTTAAGGTTTAGGATCTAGGGCCATGTAGGGTTTAGGGGAAGAGAAACACGACTAAACACTTGAAAACGGTTGTGTAGTGCGTCAAGACAAGAGTGAACACCTTAAAACGTAAATCCCGTAGCCTGAACACCTGCTGCCAAAGGACGGCCAGGGCCCTCCGTGGCGGTCCTGGGAATACTGGAAGAATGAATTTGAACCCTAAGCCCTAAACCCTAAATCCTAAACTAAAGGGGGTTTATATATAGAGCGTTCTACAAGCGTCTTGGGGTCGGGGTTCAGGGATCCTTGGCTTTAATTGTAGAGCTCGTAGGGTTTCAGGGTGTACGCCAGGATAAAGTCGGGCTGCGAGCCTTGATGAGCTCCCGTGTGGTCGGAAGCTCTCTCTCACGGTTTAGGGTTTAGGGTTTAGGGTTTAGGGTTTAGGGTTTAGGGTCTAGGGTTTAGGGTTTGGCCAGTGTCATGGAAATACATCTGAATTTCGGCTTTAGAATTTCAGGGCTAAGCGTGGATGTTGGGCAGCGTAGTAGTTGCTACTGGTAGATATCCCAAAAGAAGTATAATCCAAAAGCAGCCACAGAGGAGGGTCCATGAAAGTACATCTGAGCACGATGGTGTACAAACAGTTTGACATCTGGCATCCAAGTTGCTAACCTAAGCCCTGAACCCTAAATCAAAAACCCCAATCCAAGTTGCTAGGAGCCGCTGCACGATGTCAGCGACCTCGCAGCGCTAGCACAATACACGAGTGTCACCCTGATAGACTCCACCCTTTAAAAGGGAAAAACCGATGCAAACTACCCCTGACAACCTATCATGCAGCACCCTGCTCTGCTTGAAGACTACATAAAACCCTGAACTTATATTTCTTGAACATCAGCCAAGCCTTCGCCCGCGCCACCGATAAGGAGGCCGCCAAACCCAATCCACGCGGACTGCTGTCCACCTCAACAAACCCGGGTTTTGAAACGCTTTGTTTGAAACTTCCTAAATCAATTTTTATCAAGGCCTGAATGAGGTTTTCAAAGGATTTTGCAGGGCTACATTGTTGTCTGGAAATCTGCCGCTGGCTGATGAAGGGGGCTTGTCAGGGGTGTTCTTCCAAAGGTACACCTACCTATGGTCCTCCACAAAACACCCAAGCCCAAATCCGTACGATAAAGGAACCCCTATTACATCTTAAGCAACCCCTCATAAACCCTTGCAGACCGCTGTAAAGCGCCTTAAAAAACCCTTTTGAAAACATGTAACCCTAAACCCTTAAACCCTAAACCCTCAAACCCTAAACCCTTGAACCCAAAAGCCCTAAACCATTAAACCCTAAACCCTAAACCCCCTTTTGTAACACGATGCGAGTCTCCATAGCAGCCGAGACGCCACGAAGTCCGCGTAGGCCGCGCGCTCGGCAGGCGACATTTGCTGCGAGAGGAGAAAGTCCTGGTCTTGGTTGGGTTTAGGGTTTAGGGTTTAGGGTTTAGGGTTTTGGGTTTAGGGTTTAGGGTTTGGGGGTCTAGGGTTTTGGGGTTTTGGGGTCTAGGATGTAGGGTTTAGGGTTTAGGGTTTAGGATTTAAATAGGGTTTAGGGTTTAGGGTTTCGGGGTTTAAATAGGGTTTAGGATTTAGGGCTTAGGGTTTAGGGATTCGGGGTCTAGGGCCGAGTCTAGGGTTTGGGGTTTAGCATTCTTACGTCCTGACAGGGGTTTCGGGTTTGAGGTTTAGGGCTTATGCTTGTTAGAAAAGGCCAGGGTGAGGGACTAGGCTTTAGGGGTTTAGATTTCAGTTCTTTGATTGCGAGGCCTTTGAAACCCTAACCCTAAACCCTGAACCCTAAACCCTAAACCCTTAAACCTAAACCCTTAAACTGTAGGGTCTCAGGGTTTAGGGTTGAAGGAAAAGGGACTGGGAGATTCGAAACGGACTAATGAGGGTGGTCGTGCGGTGAGACGGGCTTCAAAGGGCATTCCACACAGACCTAGAAGTGGTACACGGCACAACTCTGTGAGCCATCCTGGACCGGGGTGTGCTTGTATGCTTCCGTGAAAACAAACACTCAAACTCCTAATTGGGCCCTACCCCCACCTCAAAGGTTTTGGCTTTACCTCTGAACAGTGATGTCGTTTTGTCTGGGAGTTCTCGCCACTTCTTCGTGCGGCTCGCTGTGAACACACCTGCTGACTGGAAGTTCTACATCGGCTTCCATGCGCTGGCGGCCCAAAACCCTACAGCCCAAGACACTGAATGCCCATACAACCCAACACTCCCCCAACCCTAAACTCTAAACACCTTACCCCAAAAAACCTTTAACAAACGTAATACAGGGTCCTTTAACAATTAGAACAGGGTTTTGGGGACTCCGTTGTTTAATTATAGTATAATATACTCCAAGCCCTATTCAAAAATATGACGGCCCCTATACCCTAAACCCTTATAGTAGCCCTTATAGAACCCTTTAAGGAACCCTTTAAAAGAACCCCCCTAAAACCCTACATTAAACCATATCGAAGCTTCCAGCTTTCCCTCCGTCATCCCGGGCCGTGCAAGGCAGCGCTGCCTCTGATCCTCGGTTGCCTGGCGAGGGCATCTGGTCTGCTTAATATAGGGGCCTTGATAATCCAATAATTGGAATTGGGTTTTGGGGGTATATTATACTATAGGTATAAGATAAGTAGGGTTATAATTGAGTCTGGGGTAATCCAAGGGCCTTAATGATTAGAATAGGGTTTTGGGCTTTGGGGCCCATGAAACTATAATTGATTATGAGGGACCCCCAAATCGTATACGTGATCATTTAATGCCCCTACATCACTAGGGATGCCTTTAAGGCGCGTGCAAGGGTTCTTGGGGTTTGAAATAAGGGCTGATGCATTTTTTGAGGTCAGGCAGGCTTCTTTATTATAGGTTTTTTCGGCTTTACAAGCTGTGGAAGGCTTCAGGTGCGGTCTTTCGGAGGGGCTATGGTGTATCTGTAAGGTCCAAGCGGGTGATGCCCCAACCCTAAACCCGGCAGTACGAGAGCACTTGAAACTTGAAGCGTCAGGGTTCCCTACCTCCACGAAGCTACTGCCTTCATAACCAGGGACCCTCAGGCGTTGGGCGACTGGTACTTCTTAGAGCCTAATTAGAATAGGGGTTTGGGGTATATTATACTATAACTGTAATAAGGAGCCAGCAAAACTAGTATTGGTAATTATGAAGGCCCTTGTATTTTTCGGAATGATCTCTGAAAACAGAAACATGTTTCCCGTCCGGAAGCCTTCTCCCGGGCTGATTTTTGCATGACAAGCCACAACCCGTGTATCCTTTGGGGTTTAGGGTTTAGGGTTGAGGGTTTATTCTTTAGTGTATCCTTGGAGCTATACTCAGAGGGTGAAGGGACCTGATAAGTGGGGTTCTAAGAGAGTCTGCGGGTAATTATGACTGCTTGGAGGATCATGGGACATAGTAACTAGGGTTATAAAGAAGGTAACTATGATTATAACCCCAAGTAGGGGACTTATTTTTTACTTACTAAGTCCCATGATCCTCCAAGTGTAGGATTTAGAGCTGAAGGCTTCGGGCTTCTGGATGACATCTACAGTTTACCTCACTTCTTCGGCCATCTTAAATCCGAAACACTACGATCCCCGAAAGGCTTAGTAAATCACGAGTCCTGTGAGCTCTAAATCACTAAACTCCTAAACCCTAAGCCTATGAACCCTAAAGAGCCCTGAAGCCTGAAATCCTAAACCTGCTTGACTTGAGGCCCTAAACCCTAAATCAACCTTTAACCCTATACCTGAAGCTCTAAACAATAAAAATGAAGCTGCACATCCTAAACCCTGCGAGCCCCGAAACCTTCAATCCTACTATAGGGGCCTAAAATTAGAATAGGGTTGAGGGGGGTTCCTTTAAAAGGTTCCCTCAAGGGTTCTATAGGGGCTATACTAAAAGGAGTTACAGTTAGGGTATAGGGGTAGGCTTTTGGGGTATGTTGTACTACAATTCGATTAAGGAACCCCCAAAACCCTATTCTAATTATTCAGGCCCCTATATTACATGCTCTGAGCCCTGAATCCCTACATCCCACATCCTTCCAGCCCGAGACAACTTGGGGTGTAGAGCTTTCGGGTTTTAGGGTGTAGGGCTTTAGGCTTTAGGGTTTAGGGCTTTCGGGTTTTAGGGTTTAGGGCTTTCGGGTTTTAGGGTTTAGGGTTTCAGAGCCCAGAATGTAGGGTTTATGAACATCAAAACCCTAACCCCCCCTCGCAGGCAAGTTGCACAGCTTACTACAATGATGGCCTCCAAGCCGAGTGCTTCCTGGTCCGTGGGAGCTTCAAAATATATGGAGGGTCGCGGTTTCCGGGCGGTATAGAGTAACCCATTCGAGGGTTTAGGGAGTAGTGTCTAGGGTTTGGGGTTTTAGGGTTTAGGGTTGTACCTTCAAATACGGGTATATGGTCCCAAATTAAGGGTATTCAGGGTCTAATAGAGGGTAGATGGAGGGCCTAGGTAGATTAACCCATCAAAGCCATTGAACGCTTCAGAATTTAGGGTTTAGGGCTTTTAAGGTTTAGGGTTTAGGGCATTAAAGCATATGAACCATCGTCGCAAATAAGATTCTCTTCGGCCCAGCAAGGGAAAGTCTAAACTGTCCCGTAGGCCTACCTAGGAGAAGAGCTTTGTAGTTTACTTAAAGTTATTGGTTCTTACGACTGAGCTATGGGTAGGATAACAACCCTAAAGCCTAAACCCCTAAAGCCCTAAACTGAAAATCCTGAACCCTAAACCCCTAAACCCTAAACCCCTAGACCCCTAGACCCTGTTTACACGTCGGACGTTGGGCCTGGGGGTCTCGAATTCTTAGGGCTTGCCGGGACTCTAAGAAACCTACCGTTTAGGGCTTAGGGTTTAGGGTTTAGGGGTCTTAAGGACTTTTTGGACGGACACCATAATCGGGTTTAGGGTTTAGGGGACACCACGAAGACGGAACCCTGTAGGAGTATAAGATGCCTAGCTTCTTAGGGACTTATACAGGGAAGCCAAAATAAGGAACCCGAGACAGGTTCACGAGCCCAACTCAAACCTGCGAGGCCCACGTCGAGATGTCCGGAGTAATCGCCCAAGCCCGATCAGTCAATTGCGCCACGATGGGGGGCCCAACCGTCGCCGTTTTCTTGCGAGGAGACCCTAAACCCTAAACCCTAAACCCTAAACCCTAAACCTTAAACCCTAAACCCTAAACCCTATTCGTAAAGCAAACGAAGTCGACGAGCCCATGGGGTCTCCGCTCCACGAACACTTGTGCAGACCGCTCTCGCTCTCTCTCTCTCCATGGAGTAAACCCTAAGGGTCCATGTACCCAAACAGTATAGGGTTTAGGGCTTAGGGTTTAGGGTTTAGGGTTTAGGATTTAGGGTTTAGGTTCACCCTAAGGGTCCATGTACCCAAACAGTAGACCATTGACCCTCAAGTACCTATATAGGGATTACATTCAGGCCAGAGTATAAACTATTTGGGTACATGGACCCTCAACCTCCAAAGCACAGGAAGTGGGCGGCCCTCCAGGCTTGCCAAGAAAGTCAGACATCCACAAGTAGAGTCCCGGGATCGGTGCTGTGGGGTCTTGGGCTGTTGGGTTTAGGGTCTATATACGGGTTTAGGGTTTAGGCTTTCGGGTTTCGGGCTTGAGGGTTTAGGGTTTTGATTTTTGGTTTTCGGGTTTAGTGTGGTCGACGGGGGACGTTAGTAAAGGTGATCAATTCCTTAAACAACATCGAAACCAACAGAAAGTCTCGATGAAACCCTCCAATGCCGAATTACACCTGTAAAGCACGCCCTCTTCTGCCATCTATCGAACCTTAAACGCTGAACCAACAATAACCAAGCCCTAAACCCGAAAGCCCTAAACGCTGGCTCCTTCATCATTTCAACAGGTAGTTTTGCTTTCTGGCAAGCTCCAAACACTCTAGTATCCTCGGACTCCGGATAGTGTTTATAGATACAGCAAGTCTGAACTCATTCAAGATACCATTGTGTATATATGGACGGATAAATAAGACTGGTTAGATAGATTAGACGGGTTCGGGAGCTTAGGTAGCTTAGATAGCTCAGACAGATAGATAGATAGATCAACAGATAGACAGGTAGATAGATAGGTAGATAGATAGATAGACAGGCAGTTATATAAATAGATAGAAGACTGATAGATTGATAGACAAGCGGATAGATAGGTAAACGAACACAGGCAAATAGAAACATCGACAGATTAATAGACTGCTAGATAAACACAGATCAAACTGACCACTTAGAAGCTAAATTACTAAGTCTCTTGATTCTGAAACTAAACCTACAACCCACAAACACAACCTGCAAGCAAGAAACTTCAACCCGACACAAGCCTACACCACACGACGAGCACGTCATCAACACGAGGGTGTTTGGATCTTGGTAGGTCATTACCGAACCCTTTATAAACCCTAAACCCCTAAACCCTGAACCGACGCAGCCGCGCCTTCTGCAATCCTTGTTTGCGCATCGTCTCCAACAGGAGCCTCGAAGCTGCTATAGGTTGGGTTTAAGGTTTAGGGTTTTGGGGTTTAGGGTTTAAGGTTTAGGGGTTTAGGGTTTAGGGTTTAAGGTTTAGGGTTTGGAGTTTCGGGCCGTCGCCGGGTTGCAGTCAAAAGGGGTACATACAAACTTGCATAAACACAAATGCAACAAACGAACAGTACCAGCCTAAGACTGATAGGTAGTAAATACGTATGTATGTATATATACATGAACCAATGAACAAGCAAACCGACATTAACCAACAAATGAACAACTAAGGACAACAAACACATAAACAAACACATAAGTTCAAACACAATTCACGAATGAACAACCACATAATAAATATACAAACAACATGCATGTGCGCTTGTTGCATATTCGGTATCAGGGCATTCTAGAAGGTTCTCTGCAGTTGATTGCGATTTCATAGGGTGAGGAAAGTGCTGCAAAGGTCTTGGGACCCCCCCCAAACTAGCCTAGGATTCTCAAATCAAAGGGGCTGAGGATGTGGGGTTCAAGGCCCAAGTGAAGTTCTGAGAACAATTCCCAGAAGAATCCACATAAACTACAAAACCCAAGAAGTGCAAAACTCTACAACCCCGCAAGCCGAACCGCAAAATCTAAACTCTGCAAACCATACGTCCTGAAATCCGACGGTGCGCGACTCATTCAAACCTAAACACATCTGTCAGAACCCCGAAGAAGCCTTGAAAGGAACTGTTTTGCAAATAAGAACCCAAGATCCTAAACCCTAACCCTACACCCAAAAATCTAAAATATCAAGCAGTGCTGAAGGGATCATGAAATGGAGCTATAAGTATGAGATTGAGGCTCAAAAACCATTGTAGCTATCAATACCCTACTTACAGCCCTGCTTTCTTTCTGATCCCCAGGTGAGCATTAATCCTTTGGAACCCGACCAAACCCTGTTAAAACCCCATCAAGCCCCATAGAAACCCCTAGGGCGGGTGGCGGCGAGTCGATGACCACGAGCCATGAGGGCGACGAGTGGATAAAGCGCTGCCGCTGCTGGAAGACCTCTTGAACCCTAAACCCTAGACCCTAAACCCTAAACCCTAAACACCAAAGCCATGAACATCCCTCGCTTTAAAAGGTTGCTGAAAGGTTTTGTTCGGTTTTCTCTACGGTTCTATCAGTGGGCAATTGGCGTTTAGGGTTTAGGGTTTAGGGGGCAATTGGTAACCTACATTGCCAAGGTTGGCTTTAAGTCCTAGTATCGTCTTGATGATGCTTGCAAGCTCTAGGGCCAATATAGGAGGCTGAATAGTTAGAATAGGGTTTTGGTGTACATTCTATTTATAGTATCATCATAAGTAGGAACCCCCCTAAACCCTAAACCCTAAACCCTAAACCCTAAACCCTAAACCCTAAACCCTAAACCCTAAACCCTAAAGCCCTAATTATTGAGGCCCCTATATCAGGGCCTCTGGGGTTCTGGGGAGTCGCAAAGGCCTCTGGGGAGGCAGCGTTCAGGCTTTCCCGTCGCAGGGAGGGGTTTAGGGTTTAGGGGTTTAGGGTTTAGGGGTTTAAGGGTTTAGGGGTTTAAGGGCTTAGGGGTTTAAGGGTT